CTCCAGAGCCTCATCACTAAGATACACAGTCCTACAGTACCTGGACAAGAAGAGCAGGTTGAGTGACAGCAACCACAGTCAACCCCAGTTGAGGCAGGTCTGAGGTCAGGTCAGTGGGACTGGGCAAGCAGCAGTGGCCTGAGCTCCTGCACAGCCCCCAGGCAAACAGGAGAAGCTTCAAAGCAGGTTGGAAATCACAAATCAGGATCAGGTGCTTTAGTTCAGCTAACAACAAGCCTAAGCCAAAGCATCGTCAAGTTAACGAACACCCTCACTTGGGATTCTTATAGTTGGTAAGCACCGAGGGAAATAAACACTATTGAGTCTGGAGGTGGCTGCTCACAGTTGATGTTCAGAGGCATTCTATACCGGTCTCCATTTCCTTTACTAGAGTTTCTTAATTTAAAAACCTTCAAATCATTTTCATGGATATTACTTCTGAGCACTGCATAGCATAAAATGATTACAAAACACACAAAAAAGATGAATGCTTCTTTTTCAGCAGCTATCAGGCTGCTGTGTTTATGGAGGAAAGCATTCATAATTTAAAGCACTGAAGAAAAATAATTTGTTCATACCATGCTCCCTGTCACATGTTTTTCCAGCATCTGAGTTATGATGAATTCAATAACCAATTTTAAATACTAAACATTTAACAATCAATCTGAATGTAAGCCTATGTCACCCTCCTGTGTTCACCAGTAATATAACAGTTTATTTGACTGAATCTTTCTAGAGTCAGTGTGTTGTTATTCAGGAAAAACCTGTTGAAAACAATCCTTTAAATTACGGCTAATACTTTTTGTATTAATCCAATACTCTGATTAAGCTATCTCTATTTTATTGTGAAGATCACAGATACAACACTAAATAGCTAAGAAATTAATTCCATATAGAACTGAATAAAGGATTAAACTAATACCTGAGATACATAAACTCTATTCTGTAATGATGTAGCATGCTGCAAAAATCTACTAGACACAAGTCTTACATTAAAACACAAGAAAGAAACTGAAAATCAAATAGAAACACAAACATGTCAATGAGCAATATTAGTAGACAACGGGAAAACACGACGGTGTCATTAGAGACAGCCTGAGATTATCCTAATTATATTCCCAGCTAACAAACATCCTGTGACTCGGTGAGGTGCCTAAGGTTATCCTGTGTCTCAGATTTTTATCTATGATTGGAGATACTTAACTTCCTGGTTTGGAGAGTGACTTCATTACTATTTAGAATATGCTCAGCTACATCAAGTGTGCCATGGCAGAGGATACACAAGTCAAAAGTCAAAATGATGATTCATTGTTTACAGCTGTATTAATTTCTTATACCCAGCCCCTTCTATTCTAAGCCACAATATTCCTTCTGGATAGTAGGAAAAAAGGAAATACACAAGCAAATTCCTGAATGAGTCTAATACAACAAAGGTGAGTTTAGGGAGAAGGTGGTAAGGAAAAAACAGGACAAAACCTAACTACTCTCTTGAGTTAGTGATATCAACGTATCACAGAATGTTAGAGATTGGAAGGGACCTCAAAAGATCATCTAGTCCAATCCCCCTGCCGGAGCAGGAACACCTAGATCAGATCACACAGGAAACACATTTGCACACCTATTACTAAGGGAGAAAAAACAGAGTTGTTTAGTATGATTGATACCCTAGGTTGCTTTACATTCTACTTCTACAAACAAGAATGTCTTTATCCAAGTGTTCAATGAGATGTACAGACATACCAACTCCACATAGTTCTTCTCTGATTAACCCTCAAATTCAGCTCTATACATGTAGCTTAACCATTCTGTTCACCACTTTCCAAAAGAAACTTCTGGCTGTGGTCTTCTCAAATTTCAAACGTAAAGAGATTTCAGTTATCTAAATTTGTTCCAATAAAATGCAATAATATTACAAAACTGTCTAAGATGAATTGTTACCAAAATCCTTCCACTCCCAATCAGGAGACTTGGGAATTGGTACTAAGGGGAACATCAAATCCAAGACGACAACCAAACAGAAACAAAACAAACCAAGCTTTATTCTGTACCCTCAAATGAAAATGATTCTTTAAAGGTGTTGTACTGGTTTTGACTGGGATAGAGTTAATTTTTTTAATGGCAGCTTGTCTGGGGCTTTGTTTTGAATTTGTGATGAAAACAGCCTTGATAGCACACCAATGTTTTAGTTATTGTTTACACAGAGTCCAGGCCTTTTCTGCTTCTCACACCACCCCACCAGCAACCAGGCTGGGGGTGCACAAGAAGTTGGGAGAGGATACCACTGGGACAGATGACCCCAACTGACCAAAGGGATATTCCACACCATATGGCATCATCCTCAGCATATACAGCTGGGGGAAGAAGGAGGAAGGGAGGGGATGTGACGGGAGTTTGTCTTCCCACGTAACTGCTACACGTGATGGAGCCCTGCTTTCCTGGACATGGCTGAAAAACGTGCCTGCTGCTGATGCAGCCATCTAGAAACGTAGAAGCCCTAGCTGGAAGAAATAATCAAACAAAGCTTCTTTGTATTCATTTTCACAAACTGCACTGTTACTATTTTATGTCCTATTTCACAGTATTGGATGCAGGAAAGAAAGTGAAACACAAAGATGCTTATTTCAACAAAGAAGGCCAGATGTAATAGGGGCATTTCACCATTTTCTCCAACAAGCATGAAAGGCTCCAGAGTGACAATTAAAAAAGAACTGTGAAGAGAGGGTGCTTGTGTAAAAGTGAACATGAGGGAGAGAAGTATTCTTGAATGTGCAATAAATAACACTTGACGCCACTTGTCAAAAGATATTTTAATATTAATAAAAGCCCAGCATCATCAGTCTCACAAATCAGAAGTTATGGAGTGACATGTAATGCATTCAGGTGTCCCCGTGGAAATAATCAAGTCCATACCAGAGGATCATTTGAGTTTCCACAATTGTTATGCCTTATATAAAAATATTTTACAATTTCACATTTAATGTTGGTGTTACCTGTTCAGCACAAACTACCATATTGTAAGTTTTTCTGATCCTAAATTAATTTACAAACAGTAAAACAGAATGCAAGTAACAAGTACCTTTTCTCCCCCTTGCGGAGAAGGAAAACTTAATAAGCTACCTCAAAAATACTTTCACAAATCATGCCAGTATTTTAGAAAAGTAGTGATATAATAATGACATTAAGATGTAGAGATGATTTGATACGACAAATTACACTGTTCTATGGATCTGCCTCTAAGGAACACAAATTCTTACATTCTTTACTCTGTCAACTAGGTAATATTTGCTTATTGCAAAATCAACTTAATTGCTCATCATTGCTTTTGGATATTTGTGAACTTAGCACACGGGAGATAAGAGAATATGTAAAAAGGTGTTAATTTATTTTTTTGTTACTCTGTCTGGCTTCTTTTAACAGAGAATTAATTATGCACACCTCCATTAATTTTCATTCTCATCTGTGCCATACTATATTGCTTCTTTCTCACTTCTGGATTACTAACCCAAAGCTGCTGTGTAAGGCTTCCAAAACCAAAAATCTGCTCATTTCTGCAGTTGAGGGTAATAAAAGCTGTTACATTGCCATTTGATCAGACTAACAAAGTTGAAGATTTCAGAATCCTAATCAGAAAACCTTTACCATTTACAACACTCTCATTGAATTTACAAGCCACTACTCCTCTTATGATGAAGTCAGGTACTTTAGGTATTACCGCTCTGCTTCTGTTACAGAATCAGGGCATATAACCACCACCAGCTGAAGAGTTACCAAAAAACTTATCATGAGGTATACGTACAGTTTGCATAAACACAATCGTATTCTATAAAACATTCAATATAGCTAGCAAAATAGAAAAATGGCTCAAACAAGTGAGTGTATTAGCATGCAAAGAAAATTCTTAACAGAATTTAGGAATTCAGCATTATCATTTGCCATTGTAATACAAGCAACGCTTTCCATTCCACAGTCATCTGAGCCATCCTCTAGTACTTTGCCATAAAGATCTAAACTAAAACTGGCATTAAAAATAAAATAAAATTTCAGAGTGCTCAAACAGATATTATTTAACTAAGGCATTGAAAGGTTTAGAACTAGACTAATCCTTTAGTTTCCAGTAAACATAGCGTTTCTAAATGCAGACTGTCAGATCCTTACAGAATCACTTCTAATGAATAAAACTGAGTTATGGCTTATGCACAATGCTTTTTGAGTATGACATGATTAAAGCTATGCTAGTTAGTGAGAATTTACATTTGCTTCAGAAGGGTTATATAAGCTCATTAACAATGCAAGTTGTTTGATTTTTTGTATTATTAATTCAGCTCTACAACACATAGAAAAAAATAAATCTTCCATGAAACAGCCAGAGTAATTCATTTGCATATCAGTATCACCAAAGATCTTCTTCCACCTACAAGGAGCAAGAGCAAAATTGAATGTGTAGGTGTTGACTGCGCTAAGATGTATTTGAAAGTTTTGAAGACTTAGTTTTATGTAGACAATAGAACACAATTTCTCTATACTTCACTATCATAATGATAGATTCACAAGCAGTTTTGTTTTGAAAATATTAAGCAATATTGCTGCAATCCCATTAATAGAGCTTTATAAATGCTTAATAGTTTCACTACTTTTAACTATAAGACCAAAACATCATCTGCCTTGCAATTATTTCAGAGGACAGTGACTGTGCCTGCTCTATAGGAGTCCTTCCTCCCAGCAAACTCTATTTAAGCTGAGGTACAAGTGCAGTTAACCATAGACAGTTCTATAGATACTATACTTGATGTTGTTAAATAGGTGGATCCCCTATTCAAACATATTTTATGATTTCAAACACTGCATCCAGTAGACTACTTGGGGAAAAGACATGAAAATGCGCATAAAAAACAGAGACAGGTAACATACACTGTTAAAAATAAGGAGTTTTACAGGTTCTCAACATAATGAGAGTCAAGCATGCAAAACTTAACTACTTACTAAGGCTTGATGACTACTTACTAAGGCTTGACACTGTAATATTCTTCTGGTGTCACAATTTTCAATCCACCAAAGTAGTCCAGGACCCAAATATTGGTGATGTTGAATTTGGCAAAGAACCAGTTATGATCCTTAGGCCAACTTTCCATTTCAGGGTGGCGACTGAATAATGCTTTTTTTGCTAAGCCCGCTTCTGAATCATTCACCTAAACAATAGCCAGCAAAATATTACAATAAGATACAGTCACGCAAAGACATATTTAAGCTAAAGAACCACTGCTGGCTGCAGTGCGCTCTTTTCAGTTTAGCCATGCCTTATCCCAAAGGGGTTATTACTGTGGCAGAGTCCACTCATCTTCAGTGTGGTGTACAACTGTATATGAGACAGACAAAACCTCCAAGGTATCTGATTTTAATATTAAATTAAAAGGGTGCTTTTAAAGTAAGTGTGAGCCAGCAAGTACTTTATCAACATAAGAACACATTTTTCAACAAGTCCCAAAACAGAGAAGTATGGATTATTGCTGAATTATTACAATTAAATATTTTAGGTGTTATTTTATGTCCTCTGTACCTGCCTACTCAAACAGACACAAACAGATCCAAACATGTTCAGATGCATGCAAACACACACATACACACACACAAATAGGAATATACAACAGAATCTACAAGAGAAGGGAAGCCGAAATGTGTGACAGCATCTAACATACAATGTGCAAATATTTAAAGGGTTAAATCAACACATTAGAGCTCTGGGTATAGTACAAGAGGAACCAATGAAAATAAACATTTCTATTACTGATGAGAAACTCATGACAGCAATTAAACGATTGCTGGAGTGTGATGTGCAAATATACGAGGTGAGAAAACATCAAGTAAGAATTTAGACTATCATATAAGAGAGAGTAATGACGATTAGTCTTCATTCTCAATCATTATCCTTAATAATGATTAAGATCTTCAATGAATAACATGCGCAACTCTAAATTCCTTCTATGGGACTCTACAGCACTGGTGCATAAAAGAATACTGCCGTGGCAGCAATGCTACAAGTAATACAATGCACTTTTTCTGTCTCTATAGCTGAGGTTAATATTTACTTCAGTAAAGTTCTGGAAGCGCATATGTCACACTGCATGGACCAAAGAATTTAACTGAAGAGACAGAAAAACCTTCACACTTCACTCACAAGAGAATTGTCTTAGACTTTTTAGTTTCAAAACAGGTCTAGAGGAATGAGGGAGATTTCCTTCATTACAATATTGTCCTGCCTAGTATTGCTCTGCCAAGTCCCCTGCTAATGACGTGACAACGTATCTCTTGTAAATATCACGCGGTAACTTCATTTTTCTCACACAAACTATGAGCTAGCCTCCTGGCATCACAGCACGTAACATCTCTCCATATACTTTCCCACAGAAATTCTAACCTTTCTCTTCTTCATCCACTAAACAATATTATTTGATGCACGCAACCTTGTCAAGCATCAACTTTCAGCTCCTTACCTTCACAATACTCCCACAGAAGATTATGTGGGCACAGAGGGGATTCTGGGGATCATATCTGTGCTTCTTGCAGTAAGGCGTCTGTGCCAAAGACACGGTTAAGGAGGCATTTGAATTGATCTGAAATACAAGTAGTAAGGTAAGAGGTTTACATGCTTTTGTGAGAAAAATGTCATACCCGCCATATTTTCAGCTTTTGATACTTTATTCAGTTCAGTATTACTGGTAAAAAGAACACAGCTGTCATCTTTTCCTAACTATATCTGATGACGATGAGATCTGAATCTGAAAGAAAGCCCAGTTTAGATGTGTGCTGAAGCTTGTTATCATTAAATGCACACCTCACAAAACAGCACTCCTTAAAACTCTGAATTCAATATACAGTCTAGTCTGATATTTTCCAATTCACATCCATAGAGGAGAGTACAGAGGACAAGGAGATACTGTGAACTTCATTAAGCTAATTCCGGTGGAAGGACAAAGAGTTATTGAAAGGTACCTAACTGAGTTTCACAGATGTTGATAAAAATACTTAAAACAATAACAAACAACCTCCCCTCTCAAAACAAGCCTTCTGGCTGCCCCCAAACTGATCAGCTCTTTTGAAGTTTAAAGTGAATTTTAAAAGTTAGGTTTAAAAAATTCTGAGTATTTAAGTAAGACACCTAACTTGAAGAATTAAAGAATCTGTATCCAATTGTTTTTCTAAAACCGGTTTGGTGAACACAGCTCGAGAAGTATTGGAGCAAAACAGGATTGCCTACTGCAGAATGGCACGTACTAAAGTTCATGATCTCCCGCCAATGCAAGTTCATGTGCTTTGAGAAATTTCACTAAAAGAGCTCATCTCAGGAAAAAAAAAATAAACTCAGAAAGTCACTTAAGCACTACTCAGAGTACCAATGAACTGATGAAACAGGAGCAACCACCTGACAGATAGGAAGCTGCTTAACTCCAAAAGAGCTGACTCATGATTACTCTGCACAATCTCCTCTCTCTCCCTTACACGTGACTCTCACAAGACAAATGTTTCTCCTCTGCAACAGCAGAATAAGGATCTGTTGAGGAGCCTTCTGAAGGAAAATGTTCATTAGCAGTTTAGACCATGATTTTTACATTATTCTGAAAACAAAAAGGATGTAGTTGGGGTGGAAAAGGAGATACTATAAGAGATAAATTAGGCTTTCTACAGCACTTACATATATAGTTTGCTACATTAGAACAGTTTAATTAAAACCTGACAAGGAACAAACAAAAAAGGCTTACAGTAAAACAAAGTCTGAAAAATTCCCATTATTTAAGGTTGGTGTTCATTTGTTTTAATAGTACTGTAAGTTACTAGAACAAAAAAAGTTTTCTAAAAAAGGAGGCCTACGATCACTCTGTCCCTAACTTTTTAGCCAACTCCCTTGACCACAACCTAGCAAAAGCCCTGAGACAAGGCCAACTACAGATACACTCACACAGCCTCAGCATGCCAGTCTGCTGCCTTTTGTTGTGTGCTTGCCTTTACAACAAGCTCCAGTGATCTACTTACTATTCCTTCCTTTCCTTACTATTCCCATTGGCCTGTGTAGGACCCCCCTTTACTCAAGTCCCCACACTGGCCATTTCTAATCCTTTGATATTTTTTGTGAAGTTCTCCCTGTTTAAATATTCAGTGGCCCCTCATTTCTCCGGTCAGTGCTTCTGAAAGCTTCAGCCACTTCCCCTACCAAAGCGCTGCTTAGCAATTTTTCAGACCATGA